TTAAAAAATAAAAAACAAGAGATAATCATCAAGGAGTTGAAGAAGAATGTCTTGTGGGATAGCTCATCACCACAGTAGCTGTTTGTGAAATTGTGACAGTTAAGCTTGAGGGAGGGGAAGTAGGTAGGTTCAAGGGATCCAGCATTTGGAGAACCTGCTATTTTAGACAATTAGGAGACCCCAGGGAGACACATACCCTTAATTCAAAACCCATAACTTTTTGAGTGCTGACAAGATGTTAAAAAAATTTTAGATTTCAGAGCATTTTGGACTTTTTGCATTAGGGGTGCTCACTTGATAAGGTCTATGCAAATATCCCTAAATCTGAAAAGGTGAAATCTGAAGTATTTCTGATTCCAAGCATTTTCAGTTAAGGGATATTCAATCTGTAAAAAAGTTAAGAAAGGGCTGACATTGCTGCTCACCTGCCATAGCTCTTTATTCCACCCATATCTCTTCAGAATAAAGCCCTGAACTCTGCATTTCCCCTTCACACGCCACTGGTAAAGTAAATTCTCCATTTGAGGCTGGCCTTTTAACATTGGTTGCGACACTACTGCTGAATATACAAAAAACAGAATGAGAAGCCTCCTTAGGACCTTGAGGAATCTATTTAATTTGTGATGGTTTGCATTTTGTTTGTGGGAGGAATAAAAACACAACCAGCCCTAGAAAATAACTACTTCATCATATCTTGTAATGCATTCCACTGAGGGTTAGAAATATGGCTTCAAACTGCCTGAGCACAAGCTTTGAGGTGGTTCGTACTGAAGTCAGTGGAAAATTTCAACATGTGAGAATTATAGTATTAGATCCTTTAAAACAACAACACATGCACACACAGCCCCCCGCATTTCTAAGTATCTGGAAATCCTGATCATGCATCTGAAAAGCAGGAAGTCATGACCTCCTGCATCAATTGTGCCAGCATCTATGCACGTGGTATGTATTTTTTTAATGCTACAAAATAGTTTGGTCTTAGCTTGCTCCGTCTTATTCTCTGAGAGGGTTTTTTTTTTAACTGTTTAGAAAGTTTTATTCCAATCTACGTGAATATAGATGCTTAAGTCAATATTAGCGAAGAGAAATGATTAAAACTGGGTGCCCAAGTGAGGCTTATTCCAGGAATGTAAGGCTATTTCAGTTCTTTATCATTGTTTTAACAGAGAGTAAAAAATAATTAAAAAAAATAGATATGATACAGAATTTCACAAAACAAGATGATAGGAATTCAACAATGGTTGTTATATTTCATATTGTTGTCTTCAAATTAGTTGTTCAGATTACCAGATGTAAGCACACAAAATTGGTAAAAAATTACAAAGAAGAAAAAAAATAAACATTAGCTGTTCCTTTCAATAGGCCAGTAGAAATCAGCAGTACAATTATCCCAGCTATCCTGTGTATATACATATATATTTTCTCCCCTTCCTTTGTTCTTTCTATTCTCTTTTCCATCATCCCAGGAGGGTTTCTTTTTAATTGTTAATTTTTAAAAGTCCTGCTTTAAATCAAAGTGATATACAGGGGGTAGATGGCTTGAATTCTTTTTAGAAGTTAGCATAGAATATGGTAATAACTCACTTTGGATTTTTGTGCAACAGCTAATAGGAAAGAATCAGAACAGTTAATGCTTAATTGTTTGATCACTATTGCATACCTCTATCTGGTAATCTGAGCAACGACTTTGAAGATAACAATATGTAATATAACAACCATTGTTAATTTCCTATCACCTTGTCTTGAAATTTTGTATCTTTTTATTGTTTTTTATTGTTTTGGTTTTGGTTTTCTTCTTTAAAATAAAAATTTGAAAAATTTTTCTGTTTTTTCTTGTTCCTTCATTCTCACCTCCGTTTTCCTTTCTGTGTTACTTAATGGCTCACACCTAAGACTAACACAGACTCTAGATTTCTTATGCATTCTTTTCTCAAGCAGCAGCTGTGTAAGTCTTCTTTTAGCCTAAAATGTCTTTCAATCTGGAAATGGGTTGGGTGAAAAGCTAAAAAGGTGCTAATTTTCAATGGGTGACCATGCTGGTCTGCTCACCTTCATGCTGTACAGATGGCCCAATACTTTCCCCTAAGTTCCCCTGACTTGGAATTGCTCTGCCTAATAAGACCCATATTTATCTATGTAAAACTTTTTTTCTTACAAAATCCATGGTTTCCATTTGGCAAGAGTCTGAGTGCGGGTGGTGAGGGGCAGAGATGGAAGGCCATGGAATGGACCCCCACTGCACGGGGCAAGGTGAGAGGTCACTAGAGGGCACAGTGATGGAACGAGCATCGATCCAAATCATGGTAGAGGTTGCAGGGGAGGGGTTTGTGGTACTGCGAGGATTCCAGTGCAGACTGCACCAGCCATGTAATTGAGGTCCCTTAGCAGAGGATGCTGTGCAACAATGCCAGTGCATGGTCTCCACATGCAGACCTCACATGCAGGTCATCAGCAGCAAATCCTATTAATTCTATGTTATGGTTTGTGTCTGGATGTTCCCCAAAGCCTCATGCAGTCATGGGGTGAGCTTCTAGAGCTTATGATTGATTTACGGTCCAAGGTTGGGATTATGGATGTGTATGCTACACCTGCCCTGGAGCGGGTAGTTTGTACACAGTGTAAGGGAGGGAAAGAGGCTGCTTGCTGCCACTCTTTCCTTTTTGCTCTTGTCACTTGTGCTATCTTCTGCTGCCATCAACTGTTGTCCTCTGCCATGTGCCACTCTGCCTTGGAGCCAGCCGAGTATGGACTGAAACCTTGACAAGCTGTGAGCTAAATAAACCTTTCTTTCCTTAATTTTGAGTGTCAGGTATTTTGTCTCAGCAATGAGAGAAAAGTAACAAGACATTCTATTTCCTAAATATACTTAAGATCTGGGGTTCTCACTACCTCTGCCACTGAGGTAGAGGTGGTCCAATCTGCCCTCTTCTGTTACCTAGATTGTCCAGGTTCCTCCTGTTATCCCTGTTTCTGCCACTGCCACCTTCACTTGCCACAGTGTCAGTCTAGCAGCCAGAATAATCCTTTAGAAAAAACCCATTGATGATTTAAAGTAAAAATTAAAGTCCTCACCAGAGCCTGTGGAGCCCTATACAGGTCTCCCTTATCACTCTTATTTCTGTCATTACATCCTTTTCCTCCCTCTGTCATGATGATGATCCATCTTCTGTTTCCTTTGATTCCAAGCATGTACCCACCTCAGAGCTCAGCTCTCCTCTTTGGCTGGAGCACCTTCCCCCAAAAGAGCTTCACAGCTTGCACCTCAATTTCCTTCAGATTTTAGCTAAAATATCACCTTCCTGGTGAACCTTCCCTGGCCACTTCTTTAAACCTGCTGCTTCAACCTCTCTCTTGCTCTACCACTCTTCCCACCTTTGGTCCAGAGCGTGCACTGCTGATATACTATGCGTTTAACTTTGCAATCATAACTCAACACCTTTTGAGACCCAGTCTTGCATTACTGCGGCTTTCTGACTCTGCTCCTACAGAACCATAGGCCCTTGAATAGGAGCAAATTCTTCAGACCTCAGATCCTCCCATCTCCTACTCTGATGCTTTGAATGAATGAATACTGATCAAGAAGTGCCATTTGATTGTGCCTTTCTCACCTTATATCCTAGCAAAATAATAATGAGAGTAGACAGGTGAATAGATCAAATTCTCAGAATTTTAAAGATAGAACCCAAATCTCTGAGTATTCTTGCAGTATTGCCCCATCTGCCTTTGCTAATTCAAATTTGCTCTCTGAGTGAAGTGCCCAGGGGCTTAGTAAACCTAGGGCTGCCCCTCACAGGGGAAAAGAAGCTTCATTCCTGGTTATTTAGTCCATTCATTACTAGGTTGTTTTAGTCCATGCATTTCACTGACTTCATTGCTCTTTCTTGCTCCATATTCTACTTGATATTAAGCAACTGTAGCCTTTTTACAAATAGGATTTTTAAAATGTGTATGTTGCTGTGTCTCCTAATGGATATTCATTCCTTCCTGACTAACTTAGGTTGAGCTGCCATGACAACATATGACAGACTAGGTGGCTTCAACAATAGCAATCAATTTTCTCACAGTTGTGGAGGCTGGAAGTCAGAGATCGGGATGTAGCCACCACTGAATTTTGGGTGTCTATACTCTTCCTGCATGATTGTATGGTCTTCCCTCAGTGTGTAGTTGCACAGAAAGAGAGGGAAGGAGAGAGATTTATTTTCCTCTCCTTATATCCTCCTCCTCTTATAAGGCCAATAATCCTATCAGATTAGACCCCACCTCCACAGCATCATATGGTTTAGTAGTCAGATAAGGCTCTCACATGAATTTGGGGGAAGACAACTTGGTTCATAACACTGCCCTACTTCAGAATACCCATTATACAGTACCAGGCATTGATGGTGTTAATTTTCTTGTAATTTTAATTTGATCCTAACGCCAAGCTGCCCAGTCTATATATTTTCTTCTTCGCAGAGCATGAATTTCAAGTTACCATTTAAACCCACTTCAAGGAAAGTAATTTATAGATTAGTCTTGCTTTTGCCCCAGTTATCAAGTTTTTACTTTCTTTACTCAAAGTCTGGCTCCTTTTATTTTTGTTGTGAAAGCAGGTCAGTATGAAATCTTGGTGTAGCTTAGATCAGGAGTGTCCCCTGCCTCCAGAGCCTCTTGTGCCCAGGCAGGGCTTGTGGAAGGTGATTGGATCATGCGGTGCTATTACTAAATGTGCTGCTAAGAGGTGGACCTGGTAGGAAGGTGCGTGTCTTTGGGGATGTGGCCTGGAAGGGTGTGGCCCCCTCCTGTGCCCCGCCCTCCTCTCTCTGCCTCCTGGCCGCCATGGTGTGAGCAGCTCTCTTCCCCAGCATGATCTTCCCATCCCCTTTTTGCCTTGGATCCCACTGACTATGCACTGAAAAGGCGAGCCAAAGTAGACCTTGCCTCCTTTAAGTTTTGAGTGTGAGGCACTGTGCTCAGTGACACGAAAGTGACTCAGACAAACCCTCTTTTACCATGTAACATTTTATGTGAATTATGCATTGTCCCACTCCCCCATCCCCGGTTCCTCCATCTTGTCTTCAGTTGCGCAGATACAAATGAGGGTGCTTGCACACAGTCTCGCTCTCTTTTTCTTTCCCCTCACATAGCTTCTTTTTCACAAGCATTTCAGTTTCTCTTTAAAAGCTCCAGAGATGTCTAGACCAAGTGCTGTATCTGGGGAAGTGAGTCATACCACGACACCTGCTTTAGAAAGAGGCTAGAGAGTGTAAGGGATTTGTTCACCATTGTTCAGATTCTGAGCTGCAAAGGGAAAGCCGGAGTCGCGCTGGAGCTCAAGGGTGTCTGGAGGTGAAGAAGCCCTTCCCTCATAAAAAGCAAGATAGCAGGCCATCAGGCCTTTATCTTCTCCTGGTCCTTCCAAGCTGGTCTCTCCCTTCTTTTCTGTCTTTGTCTTCTGGAACACACCTTCCTCGCATTGTGGGAGGCCAAGCATGGCAATGGTGACAGAGCACATGGCCAGGTGTAGCATCGTTGGGTTTAGAAAATAAAAATGCAGAGAAAGTTTGAATTTCAGATATCTGTGAGACATGTTTATGGTAAACAGTATTTGTGTTTCATCTAAAGAGGAAATTTACCTAGAATTCCTGTATTTTACCTGGCCCTTACCCTGATGCCCATACTACAGTTACATGTATGCTATGAATAATGACTACAAGCCTCTGCTGATATTAAGTATGCTTGGAAAAGCAAACAAACAATAAAAACACACTGAGCTTCATTGCTTTATTTACTTTAGTGGCTCTTGACAATAAAGCAGTACCGCAGATATTCTAAAATGTGTATTTTATTTTGCAAACAGACTTATTTATCTTTATCAGCCCAGTTTCTATGACTGTGACCTGACAGCATTTCATAGCTAGCCTAAGAGAACTATGAAACTTCATGGCTTCCTCATTCATGCTGACCTTATGTTTGAATAAACTATTTAATGTCTCTTTGCCTCAGTTTCCTCATCTGCAAAACAGAGATAATCATAATATCTAGCTCATAAAATTGTACTGAGGAGTAAATACAAAGACATGAAATTGGGAGACCATTGATTGTTACACAATAGATATTCAGTAAATAACTACCTTTTTCTTGTCTTGTCATTGTACTTCTGAGATGGACAGCACCACTTCCTGGACCACTGCAAAATATAAGGTTAAATTAATAACACAGATATATCTCAAAGAGATTTTTATTACTTTTTACTATTATACTAGTGTCATCTTAGCCACATTCTTGTTATACTCCCAAATGATGAGTAGTCAGTTAATTGACTTGGTTATTCAACAAGCATTTATTTAGCACCTAATGTATGCCAGACACATGTATTCTTTTTTTTTTTTTTTTTTTTCATGTATTCTTGAAGTTGGAGATACACGGCAAATAGATCAAAGCTGCTCTTTTCTCATGCGAATTACTTCTCATATAGTTATGGAACTGAGGACCAATCATCAAAAATGTAGTCAAATAAATGCATTGATGATGTGAAGTCACCAGCTGAGGCTCATGTTGGAAAACTGAGTATTGATTTTGGTTATATGGAACTCACTGGTGACTTTGATGAGGTTTTTGCTTGTTGTTCAAGGGAAGGCAAAGAAGAAGAGATCGAGAGAGGAATTTTGCTAAAAGGAAGAGCAGCATAATGAGAGGAAGCTGGAAGGAAATTTGAAGTTAAGAGACTTTTTTATTATTATTTTGAAATGGGAGGTGTTATGTTATGGCATGTGTATAGGCTGAAAGGAATGACCAAGTCTAGAGGAAGCGATAAAGCAGAAGATGCTCTGGGACCGAGTGCTTGGATTCCAACAAGCAAGAAGGGGGCGGCCTAGGCGGCACCTGCGACCCTGAACTCTGGAGGGGGGGGGCCCGTATGTTCAGCTGCTGGAGGGGGCGTGGAGCTTTCTCAACTTGATAATGGAAAGATGTGGAAGTTCTTGTCTACCGTCTCAGTGAAATAAGACATAAGACCATAGCGTTCACTTCTCTTATCAATAACTTGATTATTGATAAATTGAAAATAATTGTTGATGAGAAATTATAGCTTCCTATTTATAATTATAGCCTAATTATAGATAATTATAGTTAGCTAATTATAGCTTCCTAATTATAGCTTCCTGCTCACCTCAAATATACTTGGCTATATGCCGTTATCTCCCCAGTCCCTCTGTAGCGAGAGAGACTGACTTACATTAACTGGTACGCTGACAGCTCTCCTCAGCTCTCCAGCCTGCAGTGCTGGTCGTTTGCTAGTTTTCGCTCTCATGCACTTCTCTCCACTGAGATAAACTTCTTCCAGAAGACCTCCTGTCCTGACTAGTCTGTTTCCAATCCCTGCCCCACTGCACAGCCAGACCCGAGTGTGACAGGAACTGACAAACTCTCTGAACTTGTCCCGTTGGATTTGTCTAATGGTCCTTTCCCCGACATAGTTGAGAAAGTCATTGACAGAAATGGACCATTTACCGTGAACCTGAGCAGGGGTATAAGTGGTGACAGATGAAATAGGGCTGGAAAGAAAGCTGGGAAATTCAGGATGCCTATGACAGGCCCAAGAAGATCGCCACTTTGAAAATCAGAGACAAAGTGGATGCTATTGGTTCCTGCAGCCCTCATCATCTGGCTGGGTGAATAAGAAAGCCAAGTTCCCTGATTTCTAGCTCCCACCCTACACGAGCAGAGAAGCTGCTCAGGATGGCCTGGAGGTCACGGGTGGCTTTCCACAGTTCACCCCAGGGCTGAGCACTGAGTTCTCTTTCTAAGGATAGGAAGATTGTGGTGGGGGGGAGGCTACTTAAAATTGTGCAGCCATTTAGAAATTCTATCCTGCTGTCAGAATTCATGTTAAAGAAAGCTCTCCAAACAGAAGAATCATACCTTAGGAATATTTTTGGATTCCATAATTAACACCCAATGCAAGCATGATATAAATTCAGAATTACCCTTGAAGGGCCCTAGCATCACCCATGAAATGCCTCTGTATTCTAATTTCCTTTCATGCTGAAATTTGAAAATCATTGCACTATATTAAAGGGAAAAAAGCAGAAAGGCTATTTGGGTGCAGATGTCTGGTATTCAGACCATTTTGCTTTTAAAATAGATATCAAATCCCTACCTTTAAATGAGCTCTGGGTAGAGCATTCTAAACACCTTTGTTGGACCACAAGTTTTGCTTCATTCTCCTTTAACATTAAGCTTTGGAAACCTTTATAGATAGTAAAGGATGTGTTTGTCATTGATTGTTTGGTTTTTTTTTTTTTGGTTTTT